CGAAAAAGGCATTCTCTCTCATAAAATGAGGTTTGCTGCTGTTGAAAAGACTTTCGATTTAATTTTGAAAGAACACAGCGGCAGTCTAGTTGGAGGTGAAATTTTTTTGAAAAAAAGCCACTCCTTTTAAAAAAAAAAAAAAAAAAAAAAAAAGCCCTTTAGTCTAGACATAGCCCTAGTTTTGTTTGAAAAACAGGAGTTAGACAAAGCCAAACTCAGAGGATAAAGGCCATTTGGTGATGATGACATTACACCAAAGAGTAGGACTAGTATTCTGGCTATTGCCTTATTTTCATTTTCTTCCTGTCTCTCAAAGTTCACAATACTGTGAAGAAGGCACTGTACTGTGTGTACATGCACACCAAGCAGGCAGACTCTGCACTTGCAAGGAAACATTATGCAGAATATCACAAGAATATTTTAAAACCACAGACAGTTGAGTTTGGCAGAAGTGCTGCCCACCTATCAGTCCCCAGATGTCTTACTAAAAATCAAAAGAGCAAAAGCAAGTTATTTGCATAATCATTAGAAACAATCAAAGCCAAATTACAAATGGGTAATACATGACTAAACTTCCCCTATTTGCTTAATTCACCCTCCGTGACAAAGAGGTGCAGGCAAAGTGCTCTAAGAACTATAGCTGTGTCATCACTGTGAAAAATCAAAAGCAGAAGTTTATGATGCTTGTGTGCATTACTGTGCTTTCATAGCAAATTAAAACCTTCATTATTCAGTATTATGCTTTGACAGGATAAAACGGATTTTCAAAAGGGAATCTCATTTTAAAAGGAAGGGTACAAAATTTCACAGGATAACTGAGGGTTATAGAGACAAAGTCTCAAACGTTTTCTTAACAGACATTATCTTGTGAACAACTTGTTCCCTAATGGAACTTCCCTTTCCATTCTCTGGCTGGCTCTCTACCTCTCATTCATCATCATATAAAATCTGTGTCAGGTAAAGTGAATGCTAAAATGGATGTGTCACGTTACAAACTATGTATGTATTTTAGCTGTATTTTGATATAATTTGGTAGCTGAGTATAAATTGAAGCACAAGATAAAACATCATGGGTTTGTGATTAAAAAAATATTTATCACTTTCTGCTCCTTTGATGTCAGTTTTCTGATGCAAAACACACATGAAAGCAAGACAGGCTGTGTCTGTGTCAGAGTACACCAGCATATATAGAAGAAAAGGCTCTAAGTTGTTCTTTTGATGAAGCATCATGGCCTTTTACTGTGGGTCAAGCTTTAGGCCCTATGCCCCAGTAGTGCATCCAGATTCTTACCAATTGATCATTGTACCTGCCTGCAACACACCACTGCAGATCCAATAGCAAAACTGGAGTATAGGCTTAAAAAATAATGGATACAATTCACGTGAATTATTGTATCAATACTGATAAAGACAGAATCGATTTTTATGTGAACATCGGAGAGGCAACTCCTGCAGAAAGATTAAATGTAAGCCCCATAGCAAGAGCCCAATAGAGTCTGAAAGAGTTATTAATGGCGCAAGTGGTAAGACACTGCAATAGTGATTGTGAACCACCATCACCATCGAGTCTCTATATCAAATGCCCTTTCAGGTGTTAAAACTGATTCTTTTGAAGGTTAGGTCTCCATAACAATTATTTCCCCATTTAAAAACAATTATGAAGATGCACATATGTAGGCAAGGCCTGGTCTATACATAAGTCTCACTGGTGTACCTATATCACTTAGGGGTATGTGATGTTAACAAGATAACCTCCTTGGTCTGGCACTTGACCCGTCTCAAACGAGAGACCTTGCCGGACCAGGGAAGGTCTCCTGTCACCGGCTCCCAAGGCTGCCCCAGCAGGCATCTTTCCTCACCTCCCTCCCCCCAACCTGGCTGCGCTGCTTGCTCAGCTGCTGCTGGCTCCCTAGGCAGCAGAGGCTCCGACTCCAGCTGTTGGACTCCAGCCATTGGACTCCAGCCCTGCGCATCCAGGGGCAGCCATGGGGCTCTGGCCCCGGCTCTGTGCTTCAACAGGCTACTCCTGGCTGCCGCGGGACTCAACTTCAGCGCCACACTCCTGGGGGCTGCTGCGATACCCTACCCCGTGCTCAGGGAACTACTGTGGGGCTCCGTCGCAAGCCCCACGCTCCAGGAAGCTGCCAGAGAATTCAGGTCCTGAACGGCTGTGGGGCTCCAACCTCAGCTCCGAGCTCCCAGGGGCTGCCATGGGGCTCCGGGGCCACTGTGCACAACTCCTGCAGCCCCACACTGCTGTGGGACTCTGGCCCCGGTCTCATGCTGCCCCAGCCGGGCTGTCGACCATGTTGCCTAGTAAGCTGGCCCTCCTGCCCTTAGGCTACCAAGGTCTCTGGTCCGGGAATATCTGTGATCCTGCTGGATAACAGATGTTGCCAGCCCAAAGAATGTTGTTTTTTGGAGATACAGCCTATACCAGTATAACAGTGGTATAGTGAGATGGCAAAGTGTGCCTGCCCTTTCTCTTGCTGTGGTTCACCATGGGCTCAGGTCCTTAATTACTGTGGTAGTCTTTAAATGGTCTTGGCCCTGGTATTGAGCCAGGAGGTAAAATATTTATTCTCGCTAGGCATTTCTGACCCTAGCTCTCCTGCTGGGCCACTAAAAGGGCTCAGATTCCTTCTAGGGTGTACCAAAGTCAAGGTCAATTCCCTAGTGGCGGTGGACCCTGGCCAACCTCCTCCAGATCTCGGCCCAGTGACACTATAGCCCACTACCCCAGCACATTCTTTACCCTTACGTCAGAGCCAGGTGCTCCTTCTAGCTTCCCCAGGTTTCTGCCAGCACTGCAGCTCCCCTGTTGCTCCCCTACCAGGCCAGGTACACCATCCACGCTTCTCCAGCTCCAGCAAAGAATGAACTCACTTTGGCCCTGCAGCAATTTTTATACTAGCCTGCTGCCCTTTATACTCCCTGGCAGCCTCTCGTGGCCCCTTGGAGGACTCTACTCTACTGCCTTTTTGGGGGGCTGGCTGTAGAAAGACTGCAGGGCTCTCTAGAGGGCTTCAAAAGGTCTGGTGCACCTCATTAAAGATAATTATACAGGCATCCCCTTTGATGTGTGGCTATCTAAGACTAGATCTACATTTAACATTTTTGCTGGCATAATTGTATAAGTTAAGAATGATTAAAGGTTTAGAGAACATGACCTATGGAAGCCAGGCTTCATGAACTGGGCTTGTTTAGTTTGGAAAAAAGAAGATTAAGGGGGGACATGATAGCGGTTTTCAAATATCTAAAAGGGTGTCACAAGGAGGAAGGAGAAAATTTGTTCCTCTTGGTTTCTGAGGACAGGACAAGGAGTAATGGGCTTAAAGTGCAGCAGGGGAGGTTTAGATTGGACATTAGGAAAAAATTCCTGTCAGGGTGGTCAAATATTGGAATAAATTGCCAAGGGAGGTGGTGGAATCTCCCTCTCTGGAGATATTTAAGAACAGGTTAGATAGACATCTGTCAGGGACGGTGTAGACGGAGCTTGGTCCTGCCTTGAGGGCGGGGGGCTGGACTCGATGACCTCTCGAGGTCCCTTCCAGTCCTATGATTCTATTATTCTAAGATTATGAAAAAAAAATTACCCTCCTGACCTACAGAGGTATGCTAGCAAAAGTCCTAATAAAGATGCAGTTGTGCCATCAATAGCATTATAGCTATTGTCAACATAGCTTATTTTGTCTGGGGAACTGGCACAACCTACATCAACAAGAATTTTTTTTGCCAGTCTAAGCTGTATCACCACCTATTTTGCTGGGGTAGCTACATCAGCAAACCCTTCCAAGCAGAGACAAGGCCTAAGAGAACATAATACCAATCATAATTATATAGTCAGTCAATGTAGACTAGGGCAAATTGTGTTCAACAGTGTGTTGACTAATAAAGATTGAATCCTGTTGGAGCCAGCGCCAGGATCAAGGCGTGGTGAGCAATGTTAACACACCGGCCCTTTGGAGGAGTTAAACACACAAGAAAGGATATCAGAGCTGTCACAACCCCTGTCACTGCTCCCATCATGAAAGAACCACTAAATATTCCAAGAAAAACTCCAACTGATTTGAAAAATGCTGCAGCATCAAAAGCATGGGTATTTTCACCCGATGGTTGATAAGCAACTATTGATCTAGGGAGAAAAGAGTCAAATGACAAGGGAGAAGTTAGTGACACCAACAAAACCTTTTATGCCAGACCATTAAGCAAAGAGATGTTCTGTTGTGCTAGATTCAGATTCTAAATGCCAGTTTTTTGCCTGATTCATGACACATTTCTATAGCATAGATACAAATGTCAGCAATCTTTATCAATTCAGTTTACAAGGCAGCATTCGTTTAAAAACAAGAAATGTGGAGATTAAGCTTTTAGAAAAATAATATGATTCATAGCTACCTCTTATACCACAACAAGAAATAGTGGAAGCCTGAATAGCTACTTACGAAGACAAGACAATGGCAACAGCATCATTTAGAACACTCTCTCCAAACAGAAGGGCATAGAGATCGACATCAGCATGCAGCTCATTAAATATTGCCAACACCGTCACTATATAAACAATAAGAAAAGAACACTGATGTTAGTTTATTGTGACTGCCTCTGAGCTAGGAGCAGACATTTTCCAATTTGCCTAAAGAATCAGAAACCATTGACTGTGGAGCAATTTCAAACCAATATGGGAAAGATTTTGGTCATGTTTAATTAATGGTCATAGTAAGACTGTGGAATTGGAAGTGGAATGACAGTTTTACGATAGCTCTGTTTCAAAATGGCTCTGGCTCAACTCGCTGTCTCTCGCACACAAGAAATTTCTCTAGGAAGTCCTCCAAACCACTACACATAAACAGACAACAGTTCCTCTCTGCCAAAGCCCTACTATTTTTTAAAACAATACATTCAGCTTCCACAATCAAATAGCCAGAAAAAAAGTTGTGGACTGGTAGCTACAAAAGAAGGCTTTTGCAGTCTTTTCACATAAGTCTTTAGTATTTCAGTCCTTTAAAAATCATTCATAAGTATCTTGCCCAAAAGGTACACATATTTACAAACAGACGTTGAGAAGGACAAGACATGACTAGTAATTATTCAAAACAATCTCTTCAAACAACAAACTTTGATCTGACATTGAGGAAGATGATCCTGGAGACTCATCCCTATGCGTATCTTACTTTCACTCATCACATGTGAGTTTCTATATAAAAACACAGGAACTGATTCCAACTAACATCAGGTTACAGTCCATATCAACTTCTGGTTGCCACTTCCCTTTTCACGGAACAGCTACTGAACATGTAAAAATGTGTATTTTAAAGTATTGTGCATCAAATGAATAGAAATGCACATACACACCAGCTCTCCAGAGACACTGGTTTCCAAGCTTAGACAACTTTATGGATCTGTAGCACTTTGAAATTTGAAAACACCATTTTAAAAAAATTAACAGAAGGCTATAAAAGGCTATGTCTACACTGCAGCACTATTTTGGGATACCGAGGTATCCTGAAATTGCTATTCCGTGTCTTTTGAGTGCACCTGTTATTTTGCAATGTAATGGGCTTGCTATTCTGATTTCCCTGTAAACCTCATTCCACAAGGAGTTAGGGGTTGTTTCAGAATAGTGATTTATTTTGAAATAAATGCTACGTAAATTAACTCCAAATAAGCTATGCAATTTGCGTAGTTCAAACTGCGTAACTTATTTCAAGCTCCAGGCGCAATGTAGACACACCCAAAGTGTCCTTATGCTTCACATACAGTACTAAAATATATTACAACTGACAATTTTATAAAAAGTAATACTATATTTCAATCTATAAAGGGTTAGTCAGGCTTTCCAGAAAACGAAAAAGGTTACATTCATTTAATGGCTATGTTCATGAAAAGAAATCTCTATTAAGGAAAACACGTAGGAGCAGAGCAAACCAGTACATTCAATTTCTAAATGTCTTGTATCACAAGATCTGGTGAAGATTGTCCTTGGATACCAACTTCCCTAATGCCCAATATGTATATCAGACAGATAAACAGACTTTTTATTGTAATGTAAACAAAAAGAAAAATATTAGAACCCTCATGCGATTATCAATGGAATAGTTTAAGTAACTGCAGTACCTGGATCAGTAGCAGATATGACCGCTCCAAACAAGAGACAGTCTGTATAGTAAAATTTATCAGAGAGTTGCCCCACCAACTTCATTAGTTTCACAACACCATACATGAGATTCCTGCAGTAAAAGACAATAAACCCATGTTAATCAAACCCAGGAAAGTGGTGTCTATTGGGTGAGGCTCTGAAATGCCTAGGAAAGAGAAAATACTGTCATCAGTGCTCAGGTAGGCCTTGCCACACTGGGGAGGAGAGAGGTGGTTATCTGCATTTATAATGCTACAGTGGTACATCCTTTGAACATGACCTCCACTGGAAACTCGCTCGACAATGGCGAGTCAATATAATGGTCGTCTGTTGATATGCATTTTAGTAGTTAAATTCCTGGACTGACATTGCTCATTAAAAGTGCTGTCATATGGGTTGAAATCGGGTTAATACTTCATTTTATTAATATCAGCAGAACTGACTTAAATGGGGCCTGCATCTTGTGTAGTATTTCCTTAATCTTTGTATTCATGTCCGTCAGCGTGAAAGAAGCTATTTGCATATACAGGCAGTCCCCGAGTTACGCGGATCCGACTTATGTCGGATCCGCAGTTACGAACGGGGCACTTCCTCTCCCTGGTCTCCAGCAGACCAGGGAGAGGAAGCAAAGCGGCGGAACGCGCGGCCAGCTGACAGCCCAGACGTGTCTGGGCTGTCAGCTGCCCACGGGTTCTGCCGCTTTGCTTCCTCTCCCTGGTCTGCTGGAGACCCGGGAGAGGAACGCCCCGTTCGACCGCGTAACTCGGCGTCTGCCTGTATTGGGAATTTGGGAAAGGAGCG